TCAGGCTGAAGGCTCTGTATGCATGTTGTTTGTTATTATGCCTATGTTATGTGTTGGTACTTTGGGGGAACTCACTAAGCGTAGACTTATATTTTTGGGTTATGTTTCAGGTACTTGACATGACCGTGGGAAGGCGAAGGTGTGGCCGTACACATCCTCTTGTTTTATGACTTATGATTCTGGGAGACTCCGATGTTGAAAAATGTTTTGAAAACAATGATTGTAAACAATTTATGAACTTCTCAATTATTAAAATTAAGAAAAATAGGGTTAGGTTGAAGGTGGGGGTAATCTGGTGTGGTGGTCAAACTTATTTTTTTAGTGTTTTATATTTAAAATAACAAACAAACTAAAAATAAATAAAAAAAGAAATGAAGAAGGGCATTATAGTCATTTCAGGTGAGGAGGGATGAAACCTACAAGATTTAAATATACGAGGGACAGTGCGAGTTAATTTTTGAAAATAAGGATTAAATGTGCTTTTTTGGCACCCGCACAAGGGACGATTCATGTAATTTACCCTTACATTTTTAAACATTTTTACTTACTATTCAAACTTTTAAAACTCAAACTTTTAAAACGTTTTTGTTTTGTTTTCTTTTATTTTATTTTATAATTTTTTCAACATTTATAGGTTGTAAAAAAGTTTAAAATTAATATATAAAAAACAAACTAGTGTTAACTTTTAAATATGTCGTAAAAACTTTTGTTAAAAAGTAAATAAAATTTGTGCAAAAAAGTTTAAAAGTTATAAAGAAGTTTATTATAAAAAAAGTTGTAGAAATTGATATTAATTATTATTTGAAAGTATTATCTTTTAAAAATAACAACTAATTATTACCTTTGACTAATGTTATGCGGAATGGGCTCAACATTGCATCGACAACAAACGAGTTAGCTCGGCAAATACCATGCCTTCAACTCGACATGTCGAGCTCAGGAGTGCGAGTCGGTAACAGCCGTAATATATGAGACAAAAACTATTTTATCAAAAGAAATTGATTATTTACCCCCTTTCAAAAATACTATCTGTTTTTTAACCAAAAATTTAACCATTTTTAACCAATATAAATAGCAACACCTATAATCTTTTATATCACACCAAAACCTTTAATATTCTTCTTTATCTATCAAACATTCAACATCCAATCTTAAAAACGACTTCCTTTAACTTTTCATCCAACCAAAAAACTCCAAAAAGAAATAAACAAAAAACTCCAACTACAGACAATTCAAATCCTTCATTATTCATTTTCCACCGACCTCAAATGGATTGTCCTATATTTTCATCGCCTACGTTCCATTATACTGTCGTCGGTCCATATTATAATTCACGCCCTACCCAATTTCATCCCCAATTCCATTCCGAAACCGATTTTAACCCATTTGACACCATTCAAGAAACTCAATTCTAATTCCAATTCCAATCTCAACCATAATTCTAATCCTAAACCTAAACCCAGTTCCAATCCCAATCCCAACCCTAATCTTATATCCTATCTTAAACAGATTCTAAGCCCAAGGGACACCAACAAAGTTGTCATGGAGTTTAAAGTCTTATTTATAAACTTGAAGCATGATTGACGAAGTGGTACAAATAATGCAACAACACTTTAACAAAGCTCTAGAAGTTTACCGACATGATAAGGATACGACTTTCATTTGTTTATGAGTTTTAGAATATTATGAAGGAGTCCAAAACTGGATTGAAGTCAAAACTTCAGACTCATGATTCATTCATAGGTGGTTCTAAAAGAACCAAAACATCTTAAACTACCCATAACTAGTCGTCGGATGCACATATCAGGATATACCTCAACGAAGATGAATCGAGTAAGGTTCATCTATCAAAACTAAGCTTAGTACAATTCTCACCGAAAATTCACATGAAAGAACTAAAGTTCACACACTCATCACAGCTCATTGCGACGCCCTCTGAAAACCATAAATTATCCATACATGAGTATATATTGTAAGATATATGTGTAGTCTCCTATTAACTCTCAAAAAGAGCTCTTGTGGAGAGAGGGGAGACTCCAAAGCATATAACCATTTATAAGACCGCATCACATTGATGTGAGATACACTAACACTCCCTCAAAGTCGGATGCTAGATAAAGATAGACACAAATGTATTGGACCACGGGGGTATGGGATACCAGCTTTGATATTAGGTAAGATATATATGGAGTCCCATATTAATTCTCCAAAAGAGCCATTATGGAAAAAGGACAAACTCTAATATATATATATATATATATATATATATATATATATATATATAGAGAGAGAGAGAGAGAGAGAGCTAGGTTCATGTGTTTCCCACATCTATGTGTGCTAGAATACACTAATAAGAATTTAGTAAAAATTAAATTATTATTTAATTAAATAAAGATATATATTAAATAATTTCCATAATTATATGTATATTAAATGATATCCATAGTTATAATTTTTTTTATGAAAACTAATTAAATTCGTCATTAATGTCATCAATAGTATTCTTTTAGAATAAATTTGCATCTAGGTTTTCATTTATGAGTTCGTGTTTTGTTTCAGGACCCACTTACTGAAAATACAACAAAGTTGCTCGAAACATGGTGAACGAGAGTGTATTCTATCAGAATGAGAGTATATTCTAGCAGAATGAGGGCGCATTCTAGTAGAATACACTCTCGTTCTCTATGTTCCAAGCAACTTTGTTGTAATTTAAGTGAGTGAGTTCAGAAATAAAACACGAACCCATACATGAAAACTTAGATACAAATTTATTCTGAAAGATTATTATTGCTGACATCAGTGACGAATTAAATTGGTTTCCATTAAAAAAAATTATAATTATGGATATCATTTAATATACATACAATTATGGAAATCATTTAAAATCTATCTTTATTTGATTTAATAATAACTTAATTTTTACTAAATTCTTATTGGTGCATTCTAGCACACAATATATGTAAGAAATATATGAACCTCTCTCTCTCCCCCTCTATCTCTCTCTCTCTCTCTCTCTCTATATATATATATATATATATATATATATATATAAGAACGTATCGTACTATTATAAGATATCATATCATATGGTGCATGTCTAATTTGAGAACGAAAAAAACATCATAAATGGTCCCCGTGGTTTTCCCAGATCTGAAGTTTGATCCCTGTTCTTTCAAAACATTATAGATGGTCCCTGTGCTTTCAAAACTTTTGATGTTTGGTCCTTATTGCTCACTCCGTTAAGTTTTGTCCGTTAATTGAATAACATTTTCGTCATTTCACTGCCACATGGACAATTTATGATGTTTTTGGTTATTTTAAAAAAAATAAATATAATTATTTAATATATAAATGGTCTCTCTCTCTCTCTCTCAACTTAGCAACTCGATTCCTTCCCCAAATGTTCATCAAACCATGCTATTGTAATTTCCGATAAACCATTTCTTCCCGTCAATGGCAAATTGAAATTGCAGTGGTCAGATGAACACCATAATCCTTAATAACCACCACCCCTGATTTCTCTTCCTCCCACGAACCAAGAAAGTTCCAAATAATGATCATGGAAACGAAGATATGTGAAAGTTTTCGTAACCTAAAGTTTATTGATTACAATCAACCCAGAACCAGATACGAGAACTAAAGAGAAGAAAATGAGCAAGAAATCGACTTTCTTTAATGCATGCTTGTATCAGTCTTGCTTGCAATCGAACACTTAAGGGGAACGAGACTCGACCTCTTCACCAACGAAGATGGATATGAATCAACATGGGAAATCTGTTTCCCTTCGTGGGATTTTTATAGAGGACTGAAACTGAGAAACAAAAGCGAGAGCAGTGACGGGGGGTGGTCGACAGGGATGTTAGAACTGGTCAGTGGCGGGAACGACAATACAGGTGGGTGCTTTGGCTGGACTGGGTTCTAGAATCGATTTGAGTTTTTATTTTAGGGTTCTAGAATCGATTTCAACCTCATAATACACATAGATGCAGCGTCAGAGATGGGGATCTTCATACTCAAAAACCCTTTTGTACATGTTCGTTTATGGTCGTCAGAATCTAATCGGAACCCTAGCAGCTTCTAGCACCAGAAATAGGGTTTTTCAGGGCTTAAAGGGTAGGGTGCAAATGGTTTTTAGAGTTTTTTCTACTGGTGTATAAACAAGCTACATGACAATCATGAAGATGGTGGCATGTGACCGAAGAAGTGGGAGATGAGGGGGTGAGGATGAAGGTTTGTGTTGGATATTGGTATTAGGATAAACACGATTTTGAAGATGCAACAATATATGGTTATGTTCTTGATTTTTTTGGGACAAGCAAACAACTGCAGGTCGGGGATTTCATAGGAAATGATGAAATGGCCGACATTCCTGGTGGGATTATGTGTGTGTGAGGCCCATTATATTATATATATATATATATATATATATATATATATATATATATATATATTTAATAACAAAAAACATCATAAATAGTCCCCGTGGTAGTGTAAAGAAGAAAATGCCCTTCAGTTAACGGACAAAACTTAACGAAGTGAACAATAAGAACCAAACATCAAAAGTTTTGAAAGCACATGAGCCATCTATGATGTTTTGAAAGCACATGGATCAAACTTCAGATTTGAAAAAACCACATAGACCATTTATGATTTTTTTTTCTCAGATAACAAAGACGTCCATCTTTTCTTTTGTTGCGATTTAAATCCAGAGTTATATTTATGGTCCCTACTCATATTTATTATTTTATATACAATGTATCCTTCAATTATTTTGTTAATGCTAAACTTTTTAGAACATTACAAATTAATCCCTTTGATCATAAATATCTATTAAACCCCTTAAATTAAATTAAATAAGAATTAAACCATAATAGTTCATTTAAATATCAAATAAATTTCATTATATTTTAATTCTCATATTTACAAATTATATAGATAGATTAAAAATATATTCTCTGAGGAAGTACTTAGTACTTTGTTCCTATTGGACCAATTATTTATTTATTTATTCATGGGTCTGATTCCACCGCCAATCTAAACCAATAGAGATTGGATTGGTGTCGATAGTCGGTGTACTCTCCCACCAAAAGCCCTGATCCTCTCGAATCCTTCCATCAAAGCCGACTGCTCCACCGCCGTAGATATCCTTTTATCTTTCTCCCACCTATTTTTCTTTTTGATTAAATCCATTGAAGGTATGCTCCAGCGATCGCGAATCGATAACGTTAGTCGTCTTCTGCACCACATGTGTCGTCCAAACGAAGACTATTCAAGCCCTAATCGCGATTGCTCCACCGGATCGATGTATCTTTTTCCCTATCTTCTATTCTACGATTCTCTGTAGAAATTGATTTACCAAAGGTGCCAAAAGGACCGATTTTATTTCCTTCTACCGCTTCCCTGCTCCTTCTTCCAATTTCTCCTCTTTTTATGAGATTCTAATGTTTTCATGGAGGTGCTTTGGCCGGCGGCTTTCCCGCTTCCATTCGCCACTGGTGGAGTAGGTGTTGGGCGACCTGATGCAGTCCAGTGGTTATGGGATTCCAAAGGATACCCAGAAGGTTTGATTTTCGGCTTTAAAAGTTCGAATTTTTACTCTACTTTGAATATGATGAATTTTGATCTTTGGGCATCTTTGTAGTATGTCTCCGATGGCACACAAATCCAGCCATAAATCTCTCACTCCACAGACACAATTCTACCACCACCAATAAAATTCTCAGAGTGGAGGTTTAATGGCGGGAAACGATTGGATTAACAGTTACTTGGAAGCCATACTTGATGTAGGTCCTGGACTTGATGATAAAAAATCATCCTTGCTCCTCCGTGAAAGAGGTCATTTTAGTCTGACACGCTACTTCGTCGATAACGTTTTCGGCTTTGATGAGACTGAGCTACATCGCTTCTAGGTTAAAGTAAGTCCGATCCATTGATTTTTTGATTAATCTGTATTTGTGTCTGTCTATTTTCCTTACTTGCGGTATGTTTTTAACTTCGTTTGGAGGAATTGAATTGAATCGTGGTGTGTATTGTGTATTGTGTGTGTGTGTTTATGTTGCTTTGTTTGTCTATATTTTTCATTGGAATTGAGAATTAATCATCGTCGTATGTATATGAAGGCCCAAGCGACGAGGAGTCCTCAAGAGAGGAACACCCGGCTTGAGAATATGTGTTGGAGGATCTGGAATTTAGGTCGCCAGAAAAAATAGGTTTTTACAACTTTTGTTTACTTAATTGTTATTTTTTTTTTCTCAATTTTGTTTCTTATGCAATTAAATGTTGATTCAGTTGGTGAATTTCATCTGAACAGATTAGCCTAAAAGAAGCTTAATTTTGAAATCAGATTTGATTTACGAACAATCTGTGTGAACTGTTGGTGATTAATAATATCCAGAGAAATGAATGCAGACAATATATTTATGTAGTTTTTGCAAAGTAAGTTGGTGTTTCTGGTCATTCTTATTTAACATGTAATAGTATAATATATAAGTCTATGTTAACATGTTACAATTTTTATTACTATTTGTATAATGCTTTGGCAGTTTTTGACAGATTTTTTGTTGACCATATACTAAGTGTTAAGGATGGAATGTGGGGTAGTCACTTGAACGGTGGTTGTGTGTTATACACGGTAAGCTCAAAGAATTGCTCATATTTTCGGTTAGCACATGTTGTCTGTGCTTCTGTTTTAGTGTAACATGTAGCAATATACATTCATTTTTTTGTGTATTATGATAATATATTTTCCCCTTATTATGTCGGTATACATTGAAAAATTTACCAGTTATGTCATTGTACTTCAATAAGTTTACCAACTATGACATTGTACTTCCATTTTTTTCCCAATTTGTCATCATAATTTGAAAACATTACCCAATTATGGCAGTAAAAATTTTATTGTCTTTCAATGACAGCCAAAATTGAGGAGATTTATGTAAAGCGTAGTTGTAATGTGAAGAAATAGAAATAGGGTGCTATAGTAAAAAAATTGATTAGAGTATTTTTATTATTCCTTACATTTAACTGTTTATTTTTTATAAGGTTTTGGGCTAAATAATAATACCAATGTAGGTTACAAGTTAGGAGACTATTTAGGGACTTAAAAAAGATTTTAGCTACAACGAGATTTTAAACAACCTCAAAAAGGAATTCTGGTGCATTGGCACTGTCATTGAAGACCACGAGTTAGGCCACATGTCTATTAATTAATTCTCTTGTATTATAAATACTATATTTGGAATTTTTTTAGAGTAACTTAAGGCTATTTGCACATATGCTACTAGTTGTAATTTTTCCTTCTTTTATTTACTTTAAAAGACTATGAATATTATGAATCTACTATTTTTACTGTGTGTTCTATGAAACCCCCTCCTATTTCATAAAGATTAAAGGGTCTTTTTGGTATTGGAAAATTGATGGCTTCGCAAACATTTGATGGCTTCCAACCCTGCAAGCGGGGGAAATCCTCACTAGTTTTTATTAAGTAAACTAAATTCCAAAATTACGATATATAATTAAATAACAATAAATGGGTGTTACAATATGAAGTTTTGGATTTGTTATTCGAATTATGGAAATGTTATTAAAATTTTGAAATATGATTTTATTTATTTATTTATTTTATTTTTTACTTTGTTGGTAATGTGTAGTCTATAATTCTAAATGTATTTTTTTGTTACAAACATACTTTTAATATGACATGAAATTATTTGAAACAAATAAAAAGACAAAATGCAACCCTCAAGATCTTTTTGTCACATGCCACACTCTCATTTATTTTGCCACATGTAATTTTGTGGTTATTTTAAATTAATTTTTATTCCACGTGTCATTTTATGGTTTTTTCATTTTATTAAATTGTAGATAGTATTTATATTCAATAATAAATACATATCAATTTCATTAATAATCTTTCCTTTTAATTTCAAAATGACCAAATTAAAGATTCATTAATTTTCTTTATTTATTTATCTAAATTATTTGTTTAAATTTAAAAGAGAAAAAAAAACACTTTAATTTTTATAATTCAATATTTTCTCACTTTTCTTGTAAATTCATACTTTTCAAATGTTTAGAATTTTGTATTTAGTTTTATATATATATATATATATATATATATATATATATATAAACTCATGTAATACATGGGTCTAACACCTAGTCTACTCTAATAAATGAAAATCTTTTTGCCACATGTCAATCTCTCGTAAGTTTTGACATTTGTCATTTTGTGGTATTTTTAAAATAAATAATATCCACATGTCAATTTCTAGGTTTTTTTTAATTTTTAAAATTAAAAAGCCACATAATACATATATCTATATAAGTAAAGTATTAAATGTAATAAATGTGATCTTAAATTGCAATAAATATGTTTTTTTCTTTCTTATTTTAAAATTTTTTAAAAAATACTTAATGTTTATACTTTGATATTTAATATTTTTTAATTAACCCATGTAATACATGAGTCTCACACCTAGTATTATATATTTGATGACTCTGTATGTATATATATATATATATATATATATATATATATATATATATATATATATGGTTGGCAAGGTAAAATAAAATTGAAACTTTAAAAAACATAATATGAGTGTTATTTTTAAAGTTAGTTAGATGTTTCCGTAAACATGTCACTCTAAAGAAGATGGAAGCAACAATGATTATCATTTCACATTTTTCTTAAGGTTGCCTAGTTAACCGAGTTTGAGTAACTATGTGAATGTTTTGCCTTCACCGAATTGTTAAAAAATGAAGATACAAATATGAAATTTAAAGTAATAGGTACTAACTTTGATTCCTATATCAATTCCATTCTCAATATAATATAAAAAACCTTAAAAATATGAGTTCAATCTTCTATAGCAATGAAAGAAACGGACATGGTTCGAAGCTTTTGTTTTAAAACTTTTATAAATATTTTAAAACTAAAATCATTCAATATTATTAACCTGGTTTATTAACATTTTTTTTATACAATCACACTAAAATAGCTGTCAAAAACTATCAATTTGCTAAAGTTTCAACTAAAGAATGGAACAAAGTTATTACAAATGTGAATTGCACAAGTATCTGGTTATCATGTGGCTGGTAATAGTTCCTGATGAAACTAAGTTACCATATTGATATAATGACAATCACATGAAAGTATGATGCTACATTGTTGGAATAAAACGTACACACACATCTACAATGAAACACCAGCCAAAATAACACAAAAAACAAGAAATAGCATTCTAATTTAATTTTCCTGTTCATTTTAGAATCCTACCATCACTTCATATATTAAATAGATAAAACCAACATACTGAAGATTAAACTTGAAAGATGATGTATGAACATCAAAAAACGAAATAAAAAAATAAAACAAAACATGAATAAATTATCGAAGAACTCACTAAGAGGAGCAAAGAAGCAACAGAGAAAGAATCAGATGAGTCCAAAGATGGCTGCAGATAAAAACTTTCCTCCATGCTACCTAGACTGCTATCATTTGAAAGTCTTACAAAAGTGGTCTGCAACTAAAAAAATAAAATAAGAAAAAATGGATCATAAATAGAGAATAATAATTATACATCCTCTTTTTACCCATTTCATAGGCAGACTTGGTTCTAGATATTGAAATTAGTTCGGGAACAATATAAGACTGTAGGGGAGTTGTTTTTCTAGTTCCAGTTTTTCCATGTTTTATATCTTGTAACCATCACGAACGTATTTTATATAAAAGGTATTTACAAAAAAAAAGAGAAATGGTTTTAGTTTTTGCTAACAGCGAGTTGAAAGAGTTCATGAGGGTAAAAATTAACCAAGAAAAGATGACATACATCAATGTAACTAACTATTAACTGTAAAGTGGATCCAAAACCTCATTATAATATCATCAATATTAATTGTGAGTGGCTCGAAAATTAAGATCTTATTATCAATTTTGAAAGAATAATTATGAAACAACATAAATTTATTATTTATATTGTACTAATCAATAAGTAGAAAAGTAATGCATATAAAAAACAAAATGAAAACCTAACACTTCCATTGACAGCTCTTGTTTTGTTTAGTGTATTTTTACAAACACTTTATTTGTTTCAAACAGTAGAAAAGATGTCACGTTGCATTCACGGGAAACCGTTGACCGTAAATCCTCCATCAACAGCAATTGTTTGACCAGTAATGTAAGAAGCAGCAGGTAAACAAAGGAATGCCACAAGCGATGAGACTTCATTTGCTTCTCCAAGGCGTTTCAAAGGAGTTCTAGATGCCACACTATCCAAAAACTCCTTATTATCAAGTACCTACACAAATAAAGACATAACAGATCATGTTGTACTGTGTTTGGTGTGCATTGGACTTAAACCAAGACCGATGCCACCTTAAAAGATAGGACAAAGTGGGACAGAGAATCACGATCAATCTGTCAGTCTGTGCAAAAAGACGTAAATGCCCTCCTCATCCCCATCATCAAAAAAGGCACTAGAAAAGTTGTCGACAAAAGAAAGGCAAGATGAAGGAAGATTACCTCTTCGATAAGAGAGGTCTTAGTGAACCATGGTGCTACACAATTACTCCGAATGTTGTCTTTCGCCCATTCACATGCTAAATTCTTTGTAAGTTGATTCAGTGCAGCTGCGAATGTAAAACACACACGTTAAAACCAGAAGGGCATTCATGTCTTTTGCACAAACGAGAGATAGAGAATGAGTCCCTGTCCCACCTTGTTCCTTTTTTTTGGGTCGATGTTAACAGAGGGGTATAAATGTAAATTATGCAACCATTATCATACCTTTAATGGCACTGTAAACAGACCCAACACCAACATGAACCAGACCTGCAACAGAGGAAATAAACACAATGCTTCCAGCTCCTGAAGCTTTTAAAAGAGGATGTGCAAGTTGACTCATATGGTAAGAAGACTCCAAATTAGTAGCCATGAGCATTGAATACAGTTCTGGAGTATACTCTGTAGTAGGTTTCCTAATGTTTGTCCCCACATTGTTTATCTACAAGCAAGAAATCTATGGAAGTAAGTTTTATGAAGAGTGCAAAAGTTCGTATCAACATTTCAAGAATGAATTACTAATCCAACAGCAATATTAAGCAACTAACGATTCATTGTGATAATGTTTGCCCAAAAGTGTGTTGCACATGGCTAAAACCTAACAGGTTGAATGTGACTCCGAAATTAGTACCTTAAGCCTCACATAATCGTCAAATTATTAACTTCCGCTCACAAAAATTGAGCTATTAGCATCAATTTCAACTGGTGAAGCAATTATGTTTGAATTTGTAAACATGATCTAGAGTAAAAAGTTAAGTTTCGTGGGAACAAAAGTAGAAGAGCTTACTAAGATGTTGAGCTTGCCACTGAAAAGCGACGAGACTTGTTCGGCAAGATGTTCTCGTTGAGGACGAGAAGATAAGTCGCAGACGCATCCTGTGACGTTGAAACACTTGGCTGACCATTCTTGTAACCGTTGGTTAAGTTCAGCTTCGTTACGAGAGCAGGTGTGCACCGCCGCTCCTAACTCCGCCAGTTCCTCGACTACCGCGTAGCCGATTCCACGTGTACCACCGGTGACGAGAGCAGTTACTCCGGCTAGAGACCATCTGGGATTTCTAGTTGCACCAATACCATCGCCACTTACTGGAGCCTTCGTCGTCATTGATTCATTTTAGGCGATCAAATTATTATTTCACAAAATTTCAAGAATGGTCCCATGATTTAAAAAAGAGTAAATTACACGAATGGTCCTTGTGGTTTGGGGTAACTTACGCGCTTGCTCCCTAACTTATTTTTTTAACTTGTAAGACCCCTACTGTTTTTTTTATTGCGCGTTTGGTCTCGTCTAACCTAAAAAGACTATTGTGGGTCCTATCACATCCTAACTCAACCCATTTCTTTCCTCTTTTCTCCGTCAAGAGATCTCGACAACTGCCAATCAATTATAGTAACATTGCCGATGAACTCCGGAAGCTGCAACCAAAACCAAGGTCATCCAAAATCATAAAATCGCTTGCATATGTTTTCATAAACCATTTTTTTTCAGAAACCAAATAAAAACCGAAATTTTCATAAATCAAAAATTGAACATGTTCATAAATTTGTAGAAACCAAAAGAAAAAAAAAATCTTTATTGAAAATGAACCAATTCAAAATAATGAAGTGAGACTTTTAATGTTGGAGCTGTATATAAAATAGACCTAATTAGCACCTCATTTCCTTACCCCGGTACAATCTACATATTATCCCTCTGATTGCACGAACACCGATGATTAAATTCGATGGTCCAGTGAAATGTGAGAGAGGGAGAGAGAGAAGAAGAAGAAGAAGAATGAGATGAGAGTTTTTCCTCGGGAGAGAGAAAAAGAGAGAGAGGATGAGAATGAGAAGGAATGAGAAGGTATTTGGGTGGCCGTGGCGGCCTCCAGACGATGCTAAAAGATCTTTTTCCCTTCCAAACAGATCAAAATCAGAGGATGAAGGGTTTCCCGATCTTGCCTCTAGAAACGTTTGATGAAGGTGGGTTTTGTGGGTTTCATTGTCCTGTGGGGGTGGACGATCACTGTGGGGGAGTTTCATAATCACGTTGGATCTGTTGTGACCTGAAGCAATAACGGTGTTCGTTGGTCAGCCAGGGCCCGATGGTAGTGGGTGGAGGAGATAGAAAGACAGAGTAAAGAGGCGGTGGTAGATGGTTAGCGACAATACAATGGGTAAAAGGTTATCGCTGGAAATGGTGGTTTATGGACAGTGGAGGCAGGGGCAGACACAGGATTTTACGGTAGGGGTTGCACGGTAAAGTTAGGGGTTGCACGATAGTATAAAAAATAAAAATTTCGAAACTTTTCGAAAATTTTCCACTGCGGCAGGAAAAGTTAGGGGTTGCCGGTGCCACCGTGGACCACCCCTAGGTCCGCCCCTGAGTGGAGGTGGTAAAGGGGACCGATGGTGGCGTTTAAGGAAGAGAGGAAGACACAAAGAATAAAAACAGGACTTGGGGGAGAAAGGTAAACGAAGGGTGTGGGGGTGGAGGTCTACGTAGAGGTAGGGTAGGTTTTATTTAATGATTTAATTTATAAAATAATAAGAATATACTTATAAAAGAAATTAAAAAATATCATTAAGGGTAAAATAGACATTTTAACACTATTAGGGACTAAATGCAAAACAAAAACAAATAGTAGGAACCTTCCGAGTTAAAAAAAGAAGTTAGAGACCAAACGCGCAAGTTACTCAAACCATAGGGACCATTCGTGTAATTTACTCTTTAAAAAAAGAAAAAGAAATGAGAGCTTAAAATAAGGGTGCTGCTGTTAAAATACCACTAAAACTTCAATTTAAAAGTCAAACAAGTATATAACTTTTGTAGCTTTTAGCATAACGAATTTTCTTTTATCTAGGGGTGTTATTCGGGTCGGAACTGGACCGAACCGACCCAAACCCGAAAACCGAATAACGGTAATTGCATGAACCGAAAACCGAACTGATTAACCAATACGGGTTCGGTTCGGTTCGGGTATTAATCGGTTCGGTTCGGTTCGGTTATTACCCGAATAACGTATACAAGATGATTAAGGACCTAATATAATTGAAAAAAACCGAATAAACCGTATTAAGATTCTATGACCTGAATAACTCGAATAATAGAATAACAATGCACTTTTATACATCAACACAAAACATTCAGAAACTAACATAACACAATAACACATTAAAAAATAACATTTACATAGTAGATAAACATAATGAAAATTAATTTCTTACTTAAGTTTCTTGAGTTGGAGCCAATTTTCCATGACTAAACAAAGTAGGAATTCATGAATCTTTAGAGACAATAGGAATGATTGATTTTTAAAAGTTTGAAACAAGAGGAAGTATCGACATAAGTGATTTCGAGTTTGGAAATAGATGGGAAGATTGGTCGATTTTGAAACAATGAGAATGAGCACAGAGTTTTTTCTGTTATGAACGACGATGACAGAAATGTGAATCGTGATTTGATTTCTTTCGATCAGAGAAAGGGGGGAATGAATGTTTATTCGGGTCGGGTATTTAGAACCGAATAAGCTCTTATTTGGACAACCCGAGTACCGAATAATTGAATAAACATAATATAGATACCCGAAACCCGAATCAAATTGCTTATTCGGGCCTAATTCGGTTTGGTCCGGTTCGGATTTTCGGGTCAAATTCTCATCCCTACTTTTATCTATCATCAAACATTAATTATTCTATTGCTTTTGTTTATTAATCTATTATACTATAATTATTTTAATAATTTTATTTTCTAATCAATACATTATTATTAATAACTTTTTTATTAATTTGCATATAAGATATTTAATAAATAATATAGGGTAATTCAAAATCAACAAGTAGAAATCAAAAATTTAAATTATTTACCTAAGCACCTAGATATGTGGTGAAGCCTTCTCCTTATTATTATTTTTCCTAATTTACATATATATGAAATTAATCATAAACCACCAGATATTTGGTAATTCAAAATGAAATTATTAAAATGATTATGGTGTAATGGATTAATAAAGTTGATTTTGAATTACGTTTATGATTAATTCCCAATTTGTGTTTATGTATTTATTTATTTTTAATTATTAGATAATATTCAAATTATGTAACTTTCTTTTTATAGGGATATTAGAAGAGCCTTTCCTAATGGCAACTTTGAATCAAACATTGACCAAACTGACGCTCTGCGTCCTTTCTCTTGACGACACAACACATAAAATTCTCATTTCATCCATTTGACCCTTGTTAACGTTACTATGTACGACCATGTTAAACTTAACGGAGAGCATAAACAGGACGTTATCAAGCCAGGACCTTGGCCGATGCCCGGTCTTGGCCTAAGTGATCCAACACCGGGATGGCGGTTCGTTTTCCCTCACGAGGAAAGAATATTCCTCGTGATATTCTCATTCACTCACAACCAATCAGGTCGTGACAAAGACCATGGTGACGCTGACGTCACCTAGCATGTTAGTTAGCGTGGGCATATCCCTCCCAGTAAGAGGAGGCCACGTTTCACACCAACTAGACAAGGTCCCCACGATCCGTTAGTAACAGGTATAAAAGGATCTCTTCCAGCTCAAGGAAGGGATCCATCTTCTTTCCTCACAGAATTTACCCTAAAACTCTCTCTCTCTGAAAACTAACTTGATCGTCGGAGTGACGTCCCGGGAGAACACCCAGTCGTCCTTTAACTATTCTTCTGTGCTGTGTTCTCAGGAAAACTTCCAGGACAGATCCATCAACCAACCTCCAAACCCCTGTAGAGCATGTCACAACATTTGGCGCCATCCGGACGTATCCTCAGATTGATACGGCCAATAAACGAAACTGGTTCTCTGCGAAGGGCGATCTAAACCCAATAGCATCTTCGACTGCGGTAGAAGACCTGTTTCAAATACCGGTGACGGTAACCAACGAACACCACTGCGACTATAGAACATAGACCCCAATCCAGGTGTTGATGACACAAATCCCACCGATTACGGAGCCAGTACTCCAGAGTAGTTCCTGGCAACTGTCGTTGGATGGTTCGCTGCCTCAGACGGAGATATCGCATCCTGATCTGCTGCAGGAGCTTCCGCATGACGGCACGAAGGTACTCACTATCTCTAAGTCTCGTAAGAGAAACACAACTCACCATGCAGAGGACGAGATAAAGGTACTCTCGAGAAATCTACTCAATATTAGTTTTTCAAGCAGCGATCCCAGACCATTGAACTGGGATCCGCGAGATCCACTCCTCATATCTGATTCATCCGTAACATGAAAATCCATCGAATATACATCGAAAATGGTAGCTGCTCTGATATACTATACGAGCATTTCTTCCGGCAGCTACCAGATGCGTGGAAGGAGGGGCTACGACCCCCAATCGGAGGGCCATTAGTAGGGTTCACCGGCCACAGTTTGTGGCCATTAGGCACTATCCGGCTGCCCTTAACGTTGGTCAGTCACGACGAAAAGGACCGAATCACAAGAACAATCGAATTCTCTATGATCCGGTTTCCAGCAGAACACCATATTCTGCTTGGACGGTCGACAATCTGCTTAATACACTTCGTACCATCGACGATCCATGGCATCGTTAAATTTAGCATGCGTCAGGGATCAGCGACGATCCTCGCCACAAACAGCACGACACAACATTGCCACCAGATCATAGCTGCGCCCGAGTTGGTGCGAGCACCAAAGAAGTTGAAGGAGGGATGTTCCACCGAACAACATCAAATAAACATGGAATACCCAGAACAACTCGTGCGAATCGGCGCTCACCTAACCGGAGAGACCAGGGCGCGACTGGTAGCGCTCCTGAAGCAACATTCCACCGTGTTCTCCTGGAAACCAACAAATCTGACAAGCGTGGATCGGCAGGTTATAGAACACAGTTTCAATATCACGCCTAGAATGTAACACCCCAAATCAGGTATTACTCTTTGGACCCTTGAAATGGAAAATATGGCATAATGGTCCCTTAGTACGCGGGGCGTACTCCAGGAGTACACGGGGTGTACTCCAGGAGTACGCGGGGCGTATTCTAGGAGTACGCTTAGCATACTAAGGATATACGATCGTGGAGGGTAGCCGCGTTTGCCCCAGAAGGTCAAAACCCTAATTCTTGGACTTGTCACCTATTTAAACACCCTTAAGCGTCTTGGACCAAACCCT